CTCTTCTTATCTTATCTTCCCCGGTCCTCTCTTGCAGATCTTTCCTCTGCATGCTATCCCTGTTCCCCCTTCTCCTCCTCCTCCTCCTCCTCCTCCTCCTCTCCTCTTCCTCCCCTCCTACCCCTCCTCCCCCTCCTCCCTCCTTCCCTCACTCCTCCTCCTCCTCCTCCTCTCCTCCTCTCTTCTCTTCTCCTCCTCCCCTCCTCCTCCTCCTCCTCCTCCTCCTCCTCCATCCTCCCCCCCTATCCTCTTCAATGTCCTACTCTTCCTCCCCTCCCCCCCTCCTCCCGCGGGCCCGCGGGGCGGCGGCGTGCGGAGCCTCATGCGCAGCGCGCAGCGAGGTGCAAACGCATCGCGCCGCCCGCGCACGGGGGGAGTGCGGGACGTGAAAACGACCATCGCCACTGCGTATTTTTTGTTGCCGCCTTCCAGCCAGCAGCAACATAGCAGTGACTGTGGTCATTTTCGTTGAGCTTGGCACCAGGGAAATGACCACAGCCACTGCTTCTTTTTCGGCCGGCTGGAAGGCGGCGCAAACAAGAAGCAGTGCATGGTTGTGGTCATTTTCCCGTCCCGCAAGGATGGAGGGGCGGAAGGGTGGAGGGAGGGAGTGGAGGGAGGGAGGGAGGGGGGGAGGGGAAAGGAGGGAGGGAGGGACGGGAGGGATGGGAGGCTCCGCCACTGCAGCGCAGGCTTGAACCGAGAGGCGTCGCGATCCCGCGGGAGGGGAGGGAGTGGAGGGAGGAGGGAGGGAAGGGAGGGAGGGGAGAGGGAGGGGAGGGAGGGGAGGCAGGGAAGGGAGGAGAGGGAGAGAGGCTCCGCCACAACGCAGCCTTGAACCGAGAGGCGCTCAGCCCTCGCGAGCCCGCGGGAGGGGAGGGAGGGGAGGGAGGGGAGGGTGGGGAGGGAGGGGAGCGCGACGGAGGGCCGAGGCTCGAGGCCCGGCAGCTCGAGCTTTCTGGGCGTGTGTTCGGTTTCTTTTGGGCTTCCCGGGGCGCCCTCGTCTAAGCGGCTGGGTCCGCCCTGAAATGCTGGCCCGGCGCTGTGAAAACATGTTGTTTGAACCCGCGGACAAGCAACGGACAAAGAGAGAGAGAGAGAGAGAGAGAGAGAGAGACAGAGAAAGAGAGAGAGAGAGAGGGAGAAAGAGAGAGAGAGAGAGAAAGAGAGAGAGAGAGAGGTCCATTCCTGCCACCGCCACGGGAAGCGCGCCTGCAGGCGAGGGGGGAAGGGGCTTCATCCCCCCCATCTCCTCTTCCTCCTCCTCCTACTCTCCTCCTCCTCCTCCTGCTCCTCCTCTTCCCCCCTCCTCCTCCTCCTCCTCCTGCTCCTCCTCTTCCCCTTTGCTCCTCCTCCTCCGCCTCTTCCTCCTCCTCCTCCTCAGCCTTCTCATCATCATTATCATCCTCCTCCTCCTCTGCCTCCTTCTCCTCCTCCTCCTCTGCAGCATCCTCATCCTCATCCTCAGATTCATCTATTCCTCCTTATCCTCCTCCTCCTTCCTCCTCCTCCTCCTCCTCCTCCTCTTCCTTATCATCCTCCTCATCCTCATCCACCTCCTCCTTATCCCCCCCTCATCCTCCTCGTTATCCTCTTCTCCTCCTTCCCCCCCCACCCTCCTCTCCATCCTCCTCTCTCCTCTTCGCATTCCTCCTCCTCCTCCTCCTCCTCATCCTCCTCATCATCATCTCATCCTTCACTATCTCCTTTTCCTCCTCTTCATCCTACTCCCCTTCTCCTTTCGGCCTCCTCTCTTCTCCTCCTCCTACCTCCCCCCCCCTCTCCCCTCCTCCTTCCCTCCACCCCCTCCCCCCACCAACCCTCATCCTCTCATTTCCCTCCTTCTTCCTCTCCTCCTGCTCCTCCTCCACCTCCCATTTTTGCCCATCCTCCTCCTCCTCCTTCTTCTCCTCCTCCTCCTCCTACTCCTATATAGGACCTACGCCTCCGCCGCCTCCTCCTCCTCATATAGTATATTTAGTATATATATGTAATATGTATGTGTATATATACAGACATGGGGGTAAACACGCACACACCCATATATATGTATATATATATATATATGCACGTATGCGTATAGGTCATATCTAGGTGCCTCTCTATATATATATATATATGTATACACATATGCACGTACATCCATGTATATATATATATGTATATGTATATATATGTGTGTATAGGTTTTGTATACATGTGTATCTACAACTACATATAGGTATAGATATACGAACGCGCGCCAAGAGACGGTCGGGAGTCGCCAGAGACAGTCGTGAACCCCATGTCTGCCCGTGGCTGCCGTGACTGGACAGAGGGCGGCATCGGATCCTGTTGGTAGGATCCTTTCAAAAAAACATCCAGCTCTTCAGGTATAGTTTGCATTAGAGTTGGTCGGAGCTTTCCAGTATCCATCAGGCCTGGCTCCAGCCCTGATCAGATTTTGAAGGCCTTCCGGCCAGTGCCACCAACCCTGAAGAGAGACGACGACGACGACGACGACGACGACGACGACGACGACGACGACGACGACGACGACGACGACGACGACGACGACGACGACGGCGGCGGCGGCGGCGGCGGCTGCGGCGGCGGCGGCAACGACGACGACGACGACGCTGACGTGGGCCAGAGTCCTCAGGGATGAATCTTAGGGTCTCTTCGGAAGTCTCTCGGGGGCCTCTGGGCCTCTGGGGGAGAATTTTGTTGCCTCTTGGGAGACTCTTTGGGGCCTCTCGGGAGCCTGTCGGGGGCCTCAGGCTTCCTGGGGACCTCTTGTGGGCCTCTTGGGTCCTCTTGGGGACCTCTTGGGGCCTCCTCGGAGCCTCTTGGGGCCGAGGGCTCGAAATGTCCGTTCGGTTCCCCCGTCTGGGAACGCTCTTGGAGTCGTCAGTGTTGGGGCGATCTTGAGCTGCAGAAGCGGAAACAACGGGAACGCACAAATCTTAAAAAACCACCGGGAAATCAATGAATTTGGCTTTTGGGTGCCCTCTCGGGAGTGCTTTTGGAAGAATTTTGGGGCGTCTTGGAGGCTTCTGGGCAGTCTGGAGGCCGTGAAGGCGTTTTGGACCGATCGTTTGGCGATTGGAGCCTTGGACCGTCTGGGCGGCCTCTTGGGGCACAGGCCCTGGGGCCCCCAGGGGGAGATGCGCATCTGATCCCCCCCAGGGACCTCCCCCGGGACCCCCCCCGACGACTCGATTTCGACATTGCTAGATTCTTCTTTCGTTGACAAGCTTGAGGAGGAGGGTGCAGGGAAAGAGGACGACGGAGACGACGACTAATGGAGACGACGACTCGAACAGACGAGCCCCTCACACACGCCGACAGTGCGGTGTTGCTAGAAGTGCCCCCGGCCCCCACGGCCTCCGGAGCACCCCTCACGAGGCCCAGAAGAGGCGTCGCGTAGTGGGGCGGGCAACAGTGGGGGGCCAGCGAGGGATTGCAAAACAGAGGCCCGCTATGGCCCCTGAAGGGGGCCTTCTAGGGCCCCAAAGGTGGCCTTCAGAGCCCGAAAGGTGCACCTCTCTCCCCCCCAAAAAACAGATCATCGAGAACGGAGTGAGGAGCTGGGGGCACCTTCGGCGAGGGGCACCCTCAGCAGCCCCCGAGTTCGTTGGCCTCCCTGCGCCCTCCTCGGGCCTCGCCACGGTTCCGAGGAAGGTTCGGGGCCCGGGGGCCGTTCTTCGTTGTTGCTTCGGGGCTCCAGAGACGGGGGTCACTGCCAACGGGGGTCAGCCAGAGCGCCCGATCTTGCAGGATCCTGCAGGGCCAGGGCCGCATTAACTCGGGCTTGGGTGCAGGATCCTGCAGGATCTGGCAGGATCCTTCGCATTGACCCGGGTTTGGGTGCAGGACCTTGCAGGATTTTGCAAGGCCGGACTGACCCGGGTCGGGATTGACCCGGGTCAGAAGATCCCCGATTGACCCCTGTCGGGCGTCGGCCGTTGAAAGTAGATATTTTCAATCCCGTGATTTCAACCTACTTTGGGCGCCGTCCTACTTCAATGATCGAGTGGGTTCCCCTTGTACATCGTCTTCTAGGGGAGGCGGGAGCCCAATCTACTTCAACGCTTTTCTGCTTCGTGCTTCTACCCAGTTCTTCCGACCGACCGGTAGTGGGGGGTGGCGACCATTCTAGTCGCGAAGAGGACACGACGGGCGAATTGCTGTATTTTCGGCCTGGGGCGGGGGCCTTACCGGGCCTCGGGACTGTTAAAGAACGACTTGGCATGGAACAAATTACGGCGTCGGGGGTCTGGGAATGGAGGGGGGTGAAGAGAGGTGCACTTGTTCTGCCCTCGTGGGGCCCTAAAGGGGCCCCCTGAGGCCCAAAAGGGGCACGAGAGGTGCACGTTTCTCTCGCCCCCTCTCAATCGATTCGCTTGGCATAGCGTGGTGTTCGCGCGCATACTGTGGCGATCGCAGCGCACCCCCGCCCCGACGTGCCCCATCCCGCCCAAGCGTCGCCGTTGCCTGCACCACACACCCGGATAACGACCGTTTCTCGAAATAATGAATCCCCCAGCGTCCAACCTTGCGCAGGCGTTCTTATCACCGTGGTGACTGTGAAGTTGTTTGGTGAAGCATCCTAACCTCATATTGCCATGACATTGGTACGCGCGTGTCGGGATCCAGGTTCTTAGCTATTGGTCATGCTCGCTTCATGTCATGATACAGCACACTTGTCTCCGCCATCCCGACGTGCGGAGTTTCACACAACCTCTCCGGGGAAGCATGGTTGGGGACACACTGCAAGGGGCCAGGTGCACATCAAGCGCTGCGCGGCGCGAGGGTGGATGTCAGCTGTAGCAGGCCAAGCGGTTTTGAGCTATACAGGGTCTCCCTGCTGTGCATTGTCGGCTGCCCCGAAGTGTTGGGCCGACAGCTCAAGAATTGTGCGGAGTAATGGTTATTGTTTGTTTTTTGGCCTAAGCCCCCAACATCAGGGATGATGTGTACGGTGTGAGCGGGCAGTGAAGTCGTCATTGCCTTCCCTTTCATGGCGAGACATTTTGGCTGAGGTCTGGGATCATACCGGCAAGGCTCCAACACAGCAGCTGCATCCTTGCCGCAATGCGCCGCGCGACGCTCGCGTTGTTCGCCCTCGTGCTGTCCGGCCGCGGCTGCGCCGCGGACCAG